TAGGAATAAATTTTATGAAAACAAAACAAACAAAAAAGAAATAAATCTTATTAAATAAGCCTGATATGGCCTTAGTAATAACTCTGCCCCTCTGTGAGGCTCTTTCTGTATTCAAAAACCAGGATGTTAATTTTTTCTTGACTAGGTCTTAAACTTATTTGGCATATTAAATGAGAAAGTAAATAGAACATAATCTATTAACTAACAAATGTATTACAGGTTAAAATTTTTTAAGTATTGGAGCTAGTTTACAGAGAAAACTTGTATGCAACCATATTTTTAAAAAGTAAAATATGAAAAAGGAAATATATTTTGAAAATTAAGATGAAGCCAGGAATATTCCCCAAGAGAGATCTTGTAAGGGGAACTAAATTCATCTGGTTACATGATTGGAGTTATCAATCCAGCAAAATTCAAATTAAACAGCAATTGTATACTTATTTACATTCAATGCTGGAGATATTCTGGTTAAACTGTAAAGATCACTTTCACATTTACTATAGAATAATATGCTTCCTGCTTGAAAATAAATGAGAAATTTTCTCAAGGCAAGGAGTAGGAAGGAAAAGTACTTCTCAAGCAATTACTGTGTTTTATTTTAGGGACATTGTGAATTTTTTAGCTGATTGAATTTTTCTTTGAACTTTGGCTACTGAAAGCTCAGGGAAAAGTCTGTAATAAACTTCCAGAACTTTCTGGTCTGGGTCTGATGCAGTATCTATGCTGTACAATTCAGTTACAGCTTTTCTTCAATCTTCAAAGTCTGTTATTAATTCCACACAACAAATTCTAACCAATCCTACACAACAAATACTTCCACAAAAAAAAATTTTAAGCAATCTGTAATTTCAAAAGCATGATACATATTTAAAGTGTTATTAATCCAGAAGCCAAATCATCTACTTCTAAATAATCTTTAAAAAACATGTTCATATGCTTTCCAAGGCATTCAAAGAAAGAGTTATTACTAGAGCTGCAAAACAGGACGGTGGACTTAAATATACTGCTGTATGACAGTTTAATTCTGCTAAATCTAATTATATCAGGAAAATATTTTCTGCCTGTCACATAAGGCTCTGCATTAACAATAGTGTGACTCCACTGTCACCTTGAACTTCCTATGGCCAGAAACTTTAGCTTTTTTTGGTACTATTCTAGAAAGTTTTCATTCCGAATATATTAAAGCCATGAATTAATTGAAGATTAACTGGAGTGACCATTTCTATTTCTTAACAGACGTGTGCTTCTGTTGGCTTGTGTTGCTTTAATTTTTTGCTGATGACAACCCATTGGGAAATTGTTTTTCAGTTTTGCCAATGTTCATACTATGTCCTCCAGAGCCAATGATCCATTACAGTGGAGTTCACACCTGGAGTCAAAACATTTGGCTAATAAATATGTTGGCATCAAAACAAGAAAGAAGAGATACTCATCTTTTGACAAACTGAATCATTCTCAGACAAGAAAGTGGTTTATTGAACTTTCCATGTTAATTTAGAGATAGAATCATCTTCACTATTTGTGCATATAATTGTTCAGTAACTAATCAGGGCCTAAGATTAGCAAACCAGTAATACACTTTATTGCACATAATTATGTCACTAAAATTTTTAAGACAGTGAATTGCAACAAAGCAAATGAAATTACGTACAGTAATTTAAAACTAAGATCAGCTCTCAAAGTAGGCCTCTTTGTTTCTATACCACCTATGACTCCCAAAAGATTTTTTTTTTAATTTTTTAACGTTTATTTATTATTGAGAAACAGAGAGACACAGAGCATGAGCAGGGGCGGGATAGAGAGAGGAGACACAGAATCCAAAGCAGGCTCCAGGCTCTGAGCTGTCAACACAGAGCCCAAAGGGGGCTCAAACTCACAAACTGCAAGATCATGACCTGAGCCAAAGTCAGTCACCTAACTAATTGAGCCACCCAGGCTCAGTGTGTTTAAAGACTTTTAAAACTCTAAACCTTTAAATATCCTGTGACTTTAACAACTAGCATTATGTCTGACACCCAGTGGGTATTCAATAAGTGTTGAATAAGTAGGTGAACAAAGGTGAATAACTAAATTCCATGACACAAAAATTAGAAATATTCACATTTTACAAATAAAGGAATTGAGGCACAATGAGGTAAAATAACTAGTCCAATATTATCCAGCAAATAAATGTTGGTAGTGTGCTTTGAAGTAAAATAACCTGACTATAAATGCACTTGATTAATCTCTGCAGCATACTATAACATATGATGTTGGTTAAGTTTATGAGGGTTATTGAGATTTGGGAGGCAATGTGGAATATTGGTTAACCCATTATTTAGGCTTTGAAGTGAGCAGACATAGGTTCATTATTATCCATTGTAAAACAAAGATGATAATAGTACTCAGTTATCCTGCCACATCCTATATGGTAAAGGCTTAATAAATAATAGCTATTACATTATTATACAACAATCTGTAAGAACCAGAGATTACATTATTATTTCTCAAAGCCTGGGTACATCAAAAATATAAAGCTGTGGCTTTCCCATAGATATCCATCTCAAAGTAAAACTCTCTCTGTATAATTTTCCACATAATCAAAAACTTCATGGCATCATATTTTTGTTTAATTTCTCAAGTTAGTAATAGCAAGTACCAATGTGACTTTTTTAAAGACAATCTCAGACTACTGTTTTAGTTCTTCATTAGAAAAAGGAAATGCCCTAAAAAATTTCCACTTAAGGATCTTTTATATAAATATATTGACATAATTACAGACACCGAAAATTAAAATAAAGTTAAGATTGAAAAACTGCATGAATCTTGACTATTTTCCTTCCACCACTAGATTTTTTTTCTTGCTATTTTCCAATCTCAGATCAAATCTTAATCCAAGAATTCATTTTTCTCATCTTTAAAAAACATTTATTAAATTAAGCCAATGTTGTATAAATTGGAAAAAGAATATATAGGACCAGATACGTACAAATGTCCAAGTATGAAACAGTAATACAATTTCATTATTTCAACTGAAAGAAGAATAGAAATGTGAAACCAACAAGATATAGCACAGTGGTCAAAACAGTCAAGCAATATATTTGATATACCCTGTCCATAACTGGCCAGAGTACTTGTATGTGATATTTGGTAACATCTATTTAATAATGACTTCTAATTCTAATTCTGTTTTTTTTCCTCCAAAATGTGCCTAGACTGTGTTAGAGTTCAATTTTAAAATTATGATTTTTTTTTATTTCTCACATAATGTAGTTAGCTCTTAGATAAAATAGGAAATATGGTGATAGTAACATGTAACAAAAGATGACCCATTAAAATTATTTGAAACAGAACAGCTACACTTGTTATTTAAAATAAAGAGACAATAGGTAATAGTGCACCACAAACCCCAAGTTATTTTAAGACAAAAAGACATTGTGACTCATTGTATGACATGTTTCCTCAGGAAACACCAATTATTGAATGGGTCAAAGCACCTCAGAAATGAAAAAAAAACATGCAGAAAAAGATTGCAAAATTGTCAACAACGACTTTCCTATCTTCTGTTTAAAGAACATCAACCCACAAGTTATTTTATCTTCTAACTAGCCTTTCCTTTATCATCACTAGAAATCTACTGTAATATATATAAGAGCTGAGATTTCTTGTTCTTTCTCACCTTCATTTGTCACCTAATTGGCAGGAATAATTTTGACCAGCAGATTAATCAGCCCTACTAAGAAGGATCCTCATACAACGGTAGGTACGTGGAAATATGAATTGAAGAACTCTTACTTTGAATACCAAATTTTTCTCAGACTTTCAAAGGTATCATTTTGATGGGATTCTTATAGAACATTGATTTTCACCAAAGGAATAATATATACTTATATGAAATCTGATAAGCCATAAAATGCATTGAATTTTGAGAAATTCTGTATGTCACAATAAAGCATTCATGCTAGGCACGTGGGACAAGTCCATCCATTTACACAATCAACTTTTTCCTATAATGTACCTTAACACTTTTGTGCTTCATAATGACAAGAATACTATCAGATATAACTCTGAGACAACTGTTCTACAGTATATTTTTATTATTGGTTTTGCCTTTGCTTTTTTAAAACTTTTTATTAAAATGTGTCATAGAAAAAAGGATGCTTAAAGAAATAACCATATGTACCTGTAATTAAATATTCACTGAAATTTTGTCCCTAGGATTCTTTTAAGACTAAGACTGTTCAGCTAACACATTTAATTGATGGTCAGAATTGACTGTCAGAAAAACCAGTCTGCACAAAGGTGCATAAAGTTACTTTCCCAGAACTCAGGCTATCATGTCCTTGCAATATATTCTAAATTTAGAACCTATTGACAGTAAAATACCTGGACACCTCTCTTTTTTCTACCCTGGTCTTTGTATATGAATTTTTGGAATTAGTTAGAGATTGCTCATGATAGGGCAAAATAACTTAGTAGAATATTGTTAAAAATATTATGTGACAATTTTTCTTTAAACTATGTCTACCAGGGTGATTCTTTTCCTTTCCTTTTTCTAGGTGTTCCAAGAAATTTAATTTAAAACATATGATCTAGAGGAAACATCAATAGCTCAAATACAAGTCTGCAGAAATCTATAAAGTAATGTAACCATTATTTAATAATACCAAGAGTTCAAATCCAAATAAGTACCATTTCAAAGTAGCTATTTCTGAAAGCAAAAACCTTATGTCATAAAGGCTTCCAATAAGTAAAACACTTTTAAGAATAACTCTTTGCCATTACCTCCAGTGTCCATTTACAAGTCAAAAGCAAAAACTAATTCCACCGTTTTATAGTTCAATGTTATAAAACCTACCAATATTGCTCCAAAATAACATTTAGGCAAATTTCTTAAAATACTACTATACTATCCTGTACTACATCATAAACAAAGAGTTGGAATACATTCCAAAGAGTACTTTTTTACAGCAATGCTGATCAGCCATTCATTGTGCTTACTTTCAGAGGTAATCGTAAAGATGAAACCACTGTGCCTGATCACAGGCCTTCTGGCTCTTGCAGCATGTTTCTTGGTAAGTCTGCTTAATCACATCTTCATATTTCTCTCACAATTATCACTTCGGATTTCTTTTCACATTAATAATGTTACCCTTCCTTATATGTTAGTAGCTATCAATGATTGATGAAACACTGTTCTAAGGCTTTAATTTAAATTTAAATTTAAATTTAAAATCTAATTTAATTTAGGGAATCTGCGTGGTTCAGTCAATTAAGTGACCAACTCTTGATTTCAGCTTAGGTCACGATCTTGTGGTTTGTTAGGTTGACCCCCGCGTCAGGCTCTGCTCTGACAGTGTGAAATCTGCTTGGGATTCTTTCTCTCCTTCTCTCTCTGCTCCTACCCTGTTCAGGCTCTTTCTCTTCTCTCTCAATTTCTCTCTCTGTCTCTCTCCCTCTCTCTTTCAAAATAAGTAAGTAAACATTTTTTAAAAACAATAAAATCTAATTTAAATAGCCACACATGGCTCAGGGCTACCATGTTGGATAATTTAGATCCATAATATCAGACTGCATTATACAGACATGTATAAATATGGGTTCCTGCATATATAAGCAATTTCACAAGTAGGTAAAGCAAATTTATTGCAGATTTTTGATCCTATATACTTAAAGACATTATTTGAATATCTTTGAACGTTATTGGAACTATTTCTTTATCTATAAAATGAGATACTTAGAGCAGTTTTTCTCAACATGGGGTTCATGTGTCATCTAAATCAAAGTTATTTGACTCATTTATTAAAACAGAGTATTCCAGACCTTATCCCAAAAGAATAAGAGTGTCTGAGAGTAGGACCTGGGAATATGCATTTTGCCATGGACTCAGGGGCTACAGACGTTTATTTTAACACCCACCATGTATAAAGGACTGGGTGAAGCACCACAGAAGTTACTAAACATTCAAAGTTGCAAGAGATTTTTTTAAAAAGCCACAGGTTTTTGTCTTTTTAAATATTAAAATGATAACTTCAAAACAGGGATAGATTAACTCCAGTTTGGGAAGAGATTAATTCCATAGTAATTTCTACCAAAGAACTGTAAAATCTAACATCAAATGGAAAAAAAAAGAGTTTTGGGTTTTTTTTTCAGAAACCTAGGACTTCTACAAAGCACACAACATAAACTTATTCTGAAACATGAAACAATGCTTCTTCCATCTACTCTCAGAAACTTGAACAAAAGGAGGCAATTAAATAGGTCATTCAGGTAGTCTGACCTTGACCATGTAAGTGCACTATAAATGTGACATAATTTTTGATAAACCAATAAAACATACTGACATATTTAAAAGTGATATTATGCCTTACTGACCCCATCCTAAAGCTGACTTTCAATATTTTCATGTCCTCAGAATATAAGAGAAACACACGTTATTTTAAAGGTTTAGGCTTTGATTATGTAACAATGATTTTTTTTTTTTTTTTTTTTTTTTTTTTTTTTGCAAAATAAACTTGAGAGTTCCAATAATACAAGCAGTTTAGCATAAGTAGTTTATTTTTATTTTATAAAAATTCTTTAGTAAAATTTAACATGCATTCATTATTTTAAAAACTCTCTTAGCAAACAGGATTGAAGGAAATTTCCTTAATCAGATAGAGGTCTTCTACAAAAGGAAGGAGCCGTCTTCGGCACTCAGCACTGGTCTCAGTCTGTTCTTTACTAATCTAACAGACCTGCTGAACCTTCTCCTTTCCCACTTCTACAAGGGGGAAGAAAGAGAGCCACACAGGTCATCAAGATGTCTCTCTCCTCACTCCCAAAGCATGAGCAGTTTAAATAGAAATAGGCCTTTCACCAACTTAATTGCATGAGATTCATCATGGTTAATAATTACCGAAATACAGAAACGCAGAGTAGAATATCCTTTTTATATAGCAGGGTAAGTAGTAATATTGGGTCTTCATTCTGTTATAGGTAATTTTCCCAATGCTTTACAGACATTATCCCACTTAATCCTCAAAGCAAATCTGACAAAGGGACTACTCTTAATCCCATTAAAATATAGATAAATTTAGATTCAAAGTATCCATGTCTTAGCTGGATTGTTCTTAAACTAATACAAGAAATTAACTCCAAATACATAGCTTTGTTGTAAAGGAAAGAGGTGAAAAGACAGTGATAGCAATAAGGGAATTCATGGTTGAAAGTAGACTCTTTAAAAAGGTAAACTGAGGGGCGCCTGGGTGGCGCAGTCGGTTAAGCGTCCGACTTCAGCCAGGTCAGGATCTCGCGGTCCGTGAGTTCGAGCCCCGCGTCAGGCTCTGGGCTGCCTGGAGCCTGTTTCCGATTCTGTGTCTCCCTCTCTCTCTGCCCCTCCCCCGTTCATGCTCTGTCTCTCTCTGTCCCAAAAATAAAAAAAAATAAAAAAAAATAAAGGTAAACTGAACATAAATGATAGTTGTTTCCTAAGGAAAAGAAGTCAGTTAAAAGACACGTATTAAAGTGCAGGGGGAAGAAAGGGGAAAATTGACAGAGCTCTGAGAAAATACTTGTAAAGGAAAAGGAAATATGTAGATTTTAATAACTTTGTGGTTGTGTGGCCAGTGTATTGGTGAAGTTCATTTCTAATTTCTTGCATTATTTTGGAGTAGAAGGAAAATCATCCTGGTGGGGTGACTGAGGGTCAGGAAGAGGTAGAGAACTTCAATAAAATTGGCATAAACTTAGAAAATTATAAGCCTCTGGGGAATAAGGTTCAGTTAACCTGAGATGCTTGAAAAGATCACAGGGCAGTGCTAAGGCACTATAAATGGGTGATGGCTCAGTACCTCTGACATCTGCTGCCACTGCTCAAAAACCTGTAATTGGGAATCAGGGAGACAGATGATTCAGAAGACAAAATAATCATAAAGTTTAGAATTTGCAAGAGCAAAATGCCACATGAACAAATACATGGAGGACCTAAGAACAGAACGAGGGAAATGCAGACACCTGTGTCTGACATAAGTCCTCAGCAGAACAGGACTTGTGCATTCTTACGCTACAGAACAGGCATATTTGCACTCCATTCGGCATGCTCTCTCCCCATTTTTTGTTATTTTGACTTCCTTTCAAAGTCTGCCTTCTCGGTTCAATGATCCTTAATCTTTCCTAAACCAATCGCTCTAAATCTCTAATGTATTTGTTTCCCACACTATTTTTCAACTACTTTTACTTCCAAAAACTGCAACCACTGTACTAGTGTTAACATAACAAATAGTAGTATGTAACATTTATTGAGCACAGTAACTGGGCCAGCCTTCGCCCGAAGCACTTTACAGGTAATATTTCACAACAAATCTGACTCAAATCTGAGACATCTCACCCACTTCAAATCTCAGACAACCTCAGAGTTGTCTCAAACTTGAATTTGGCGTGGGAGGGGGGTTTCTGAAACATCCCACATTAAAAAAGGAAAAAATTCTGATCATAAATTGTAAAAGTGTTTCTAAACTTTACAAAGCTACAAAAATGAATTTAAAACTACCCATAATCTCAATACTCAGAAATAAACATGACTACCATTAAAAAAAAAAAAAAAGGTAGGTGTTGGGTACTATTATGAACATCATTTTTCAGATGAGGAAAGAGAGTCTCAAAAAGGATTCCAACATTCACACAATCTCTAAGTAGCAGGGGCAGAATTCAAACCCTGGCATTACACTCGACGGACTATCATTCTGCTTCCATTTGGGCCATTTTGTACTGTCTTGTACTGTAACCACTTGGTCTGTAGACTTACAAAAGGCATGTCTGCATGCCCACAGCTCCTACTTTAGTGTACCGCACAAAATAAGTGCTCAATAACGTGTTTCACTGTTTATTAGTGTTCAAAGCCTGAAATAATCCCCAACGCTTGAATGAGATATAAAGAGACATTTTCCTCATTTGGAATTGATTCCAATCACAGGCTCTACCAAAAACATAGGACATGATTTTACTCACGATCTTTTTCCCCATCAAAACTACCTCAGCTTTCATTTAAGAGCCTAGGCATTCAGAGGGTGAAAGAGAACTCTTCCCTTTCTCTGAGACAAACTTTCAGACTGTGTAAGTTAGATGTGTATGTAAGAGTTTTCTATTGCTAAATAACAAATTACCACAAACTAGTAGCTTTGGGAAAAAATGCATTTATTATCCCACAGTTCCTTTGGTCAGACTCTGGCCTTGGCTTGGTTGAATTTTCTGCTCAGGGTCTCCCAGGACTGAAAAGGTATTGTCAGGACTGTATTCTTTTCTGGAGCTCAGGGACCTCTTTTCCAATTTGGGTGGCTGTGGGCAGAATTCAATCCCTTGTTTATAGGACTGAGGTCCTTACTTTTTTGCAGGCTATGAGCCACAGGGCCCGCTACTACCATCTACTTCCATGTGGTCCTCTCCACAACACATTTTTTTTGCTTCAAAGCCAATAGGAGAGCACCGCAGTTTCAAATCTCTGAATTTGTCTGACCTGCAGAACCCATTTTAAAAGGACTCACCCGATAAGGTTATGCCAGTATATGCCAGCAGGGGGCAGGAATCTTGGAAGCCATCTTAGAATTCTGCCTGCCACAGAGAGTATACATTCTTATGCTTAACCTAGAAATACCTAATTAAAAATTGTTCACTTCTGTTTTCCCACAGCCTGGTGAGAGTCACAGAGGTCCCAGGAGACGATATCCACCTAGGCCACTGCTTCCTCCTCCTCTACGGTTTCCTTTTGGTCCAGGATTTGCTCCACACCTTCCTCCACCTTATGGCCCAGGGAGAATTCCACCACCCCCTCCTCAGTTTTTTGGCCCCGGGAGAATTCCACCATCTCCTCCTTTATTCCCCAATGGCCCAGGTTATCCATATCCAGCTTTCCAACAAAGACGTTATCTAATTCGATTTCCATTCATCCCTAGATTCCCTCTGATGTATCCTTTTGTCCTCACACCCCAAATACAAACTACTACAACAACAGGTTCCGCTACAACCACAACTGACCCCACTACCACCCAAACGGACTCTGCCACTCCCATGACAGCTTCTCCTCCCCAAGAGACAAAGACCACTTCTACTCCCCAAGAGACTACTATCGCTTCTACTCCCCAAGAGACAATGACAGCTTCTCCTCCCCAAGAGACAAAGACCACTTCTCCCCAAGAGACAACTGCTTCTACTCCCCAAGCGACTACTATTGCTTCTACTCCCCAAGAGACAATGACTGCTTCTACTCCCCAAGAGACAACAACAGTTTCTCCTCCCCAAGAGACAACAACCACATCTACTCCCCAAGAGACAACGACAGCTCCTCTTCCCCAAGAGACAACTACCACTTCTACTTCCCAAAAGACAAGTCTCAAGACCTTTTTAGATAGACTCATTTCAATTTTTGGATGAGAATGAAATATTCCATAAGCTCTAACCTTTGGGAGGAATAATCTTAGAAAGAAACTATAAAACAACCCACATAAACATTATGACAACAAAGTGAAAATAAAGAGTTGAGCAACGATATGAAACCTCCAGTGTGGTCATGTGCACCCTGGGTCTGTCCCCCCTTTTCTGCCCAATGAAGATTAGTACTGCCAGAAGCCTGGCCTTGTAACATGAAGTTAAAGAGGTAATTAGGGGAAAATACAGTGAGATATCTGGACTTGTACTTAGAGTGACGGAGCTGTAAGATTAGGCAACAAGATGCTCTCTTGAGTACCACAACCCATCATACAACTACAAAACACAAAATAACATATTAGTAGATATTCAAATAATCTTAGCTCTCCCCACAGCATTCTCCCTGAAATATTCCTGAGTACCACAAGATCATTAATTATAAATAAGCTTTCATATTATCTGCTCAATTCCAGAGTAAAAATGCCTTTCTAGCAAACCAAAATACCTAAGTGAACTATGGGGCACAAGTCTTGAAATCTGATATGAAAAATCATTTTCCAAGTTAAGGAACAGATAGATGATGGTTTCAGAAATCAATAATGAAAGGCTGATGGCTGAGACTCCAAAGTTTCCATTGCTTCCAACTATTAGTTAAGGTTTTAATTGAAAGTATTATGACTATTTCAGAAATGGCCTCATTATATCATGAACACTATATCTTTCATACATTTTTGACTTTTAAAGTAATTTTCTTTTCAAAAAACAACTACTTACATTGTCAACAATCACATGAATCAAAATTACTCAAAGATAGCTATTTTAAGCATTAATTTGTTTATATGTGCTTAATTTTATCTTTAATCCCACAGTAGTTCTTGAGAATCTACTGTGATACAGAATCTCTTTCAGTAGTTAAGTAATCAGCAATAAGGAAAGCTGTCAAAGTCACTACCTTCCTGGAGCTTCCATTCAAATATGACAAAAAAAAAAAAAAAAAAGTAAATACATGTATATGTAAGAAATGAGAAGTGCTTTGAAAAATAAGAAAGAAAGGTAAAAAGATACAAAGTGGTATTGATAGTTCGTTTTATCTGAGATAATCAGAAAGAACCTCTCTGATAAAGTAGTATTTAAGCAAAGACTTCAAGAATGTTAAGTATTCAAAGATCTAAAGAAAGCGTACTGAAGGCAGAAGGGATCCAACATGTAAAAGTCTGAAGCAACAGTGAATTTTTTGTGCAAGAGGACCAGAAGAATGCTAATGTGGCTCATACTTAGTGAGAAAGGAAGAGAGTTGAAAGGAAATACTACCAAAAGGGCAGAGATAGACCACATCATAAAGGACCTAGGATCAGAATTTTATCCTAAATGTATGAGAGGTCATTGGAGCTTTACATAAAGGAACAACATATTCCAATAAGCATTTTCAAAATTTTATCTGTCTGCTGAGTACCACACTGTAAAGAGAACAATAGTAGAGGCTATTTCAAGAATCCTGGTGGGAAACGGTGGCTTAGACTAGAGCGGGATCAATGAAGAAGGGGAGAAGTGGTCAGACATAGAAACAGCTAAAAATATATATATATATTCAAAAGTATTTTATGAAGTGTTGGACCTGGATTTTACTTTTTTATTTTAAATTTATTTTTTTTAATTTACATCCAAGTTAGTTAACATATAGTGCAACAATGATTTCAGGAGTAGATTCCTTAATGCCCCTTACCCATTTAGCCCATCCTCCTTCCCGCAACTCCTCCAGTAACCCTCTGTTTGTTCTCCATATTTAAGAGTCTCTTACGTTTTTGGGGGCGCCTGGGTGGCGCGGTCGGTTAAGCGGCCGACTTCAGCCAGGTCACGATCTCGCGGTCCGGGAGTTCGAGCCCCGCGTCGGGCTCTGGGCTGATGGCTCAGAGCCTGGAGCCTGTTTCCGATTCTGTGTCTCCCTCTCTCTCTGCCCCTCTTCCGTTCATGCTCTGTCTCTCTCTGTCCCAAAAATAAAATAAATAAACGTTGAAAAAAAAATTAAAAAAAGAGTCTCTTATGTTTTTGGACCTGGGTTTTAAAGGAAAAGAAATAATCTAGAAATAACTATGATATTTTGGGCCCAAGCAAGCATGTGAATAATGGTGCCATTCAGTGAGAGAGGTAAGATTAGAGAGGAATCATAGTTTAAAGATTTGGAATATCATGGTTCGGCACTGGATATGTTAAGCTTGATATCTCCAACTTCTGTATTATTTTTTATTGCTGCAATAACATTATTATCACAAACAGCATCTCAAAACAATAAAAATGCATAATGCAAATGCAATATCACACTGTTCTACAGACTAGAAGTCTACAAAATAACCAGGCTCAACTAGGTTCTCTGCCTGGAGTCTCACAAGGCTGAAGTCAAAGTTACTGGCAAAGCTGCATTCCTTTTGGAGGCTCTAGGGGAGAATGTTTCAAGGTTCATTCATCTCTCCTACATATCTCTTTTGTCTCAACTCCTGCCACATCTCTCTGACTCCTCCCAGACAATTTTTTTCTACTTTCTAAGAGCTCACATGATTATATTCAGCCTACCAAAGTGATCCAGGATAAGCTCTATGTTTAAAGATATATATTTTAGTAACACTTGAAAAGTCCTTTTGCAGATGTACCTAGATTAGTATTTGGTTAAATAACTAGAGGATGGAAATCTTGAGGAGCACATCCTTTAATAATCTGCCTACAACTTCCAAGTATAGATACTGAGCAGACAGGTTATATGCAAGGGCAGAATAAATGGGAGGACTGAGTTTAACTAGGATCCCAATTTTGCCAGGGAAGAATGACAGAAAAAAAGATGGGAAAGAGGAACTATTCAAGGAATTAGGTTATATATGAACTAAGCTATACTGCAAAGGCTGGTGTAAGTTTACAAATTGGGTATAATGACAACTCAGACTTGGCTAACTATACTTCCACTTTGTATTATTATCAAATATGTGAACAAGCAAAGAAAACAATAGATAGAGATCAAGAGAATGCGTTAAGTGGCTTCCTGGCACTTACCTTCTTCCTTATATAGGCATACCCAAATTTTGGAAGTTTCAACAGCCAATGTAGACTGAAATATCTACCAAATCACAGAACCCATAACTGACTTTAAACTGGTGTGCATGGGAAGAGGTGCATCACCACTGAAATGTCCACTGTAACGCCTTTTAAGAAATTACTTGCTGAACGAGTTATTTAACGTATCTTCCATTTTTTATTTCTTAATGTGCCATCAAGTCAAATCAAGGTTTCTGAGCACTGAACACGGACATGGTCTATGACAGCATCAAGAAAAAGATTATAGAAGTGAACTATATAATCTAAGCTAGATAACAGCAACAACAAAAAGCCATAAAGACATGAGGAGTGTATTTAATATGTTTTATTGCTGTTTGTCTTCAGTTCCAGTAATTTATATGCAACTTCTTATATGTCAGAAAAGGAAAAATTAACAATTATATTTCCAAGACACAGCTGGTATTCTGAATGTGATTAGATACAATCCAGTGGGGAAACATTTACATGAGATTTTGAAGGCAGAAGTAGGACAAAAGCTATCTTTTGGCTGCTTGGGCTACTGGCAAACAAGAATGGAGGTATATGAGGTGGCTGACTACTGCTTCATGGGTGTAAGTTCAGTTGCAGAGGAGCAGTTTTGTGTTCTCTGAATCACAACTCTAACCCTATAACCTTAAGGTCAATAGACAGTGGAAGCCCCCTCACTGATACTCTTTCAATCACTCTTTACAATGCTTTGTAAAATATAGTTATCTGTATGGACTCCCTTTCTATGTGAAAGAAAAAATGGCTTATTTGCTTGAAAAGAATGCCCATAAATACAAAAGAAAGATAAGAAACAAGGAATAGGGGAATACAGTCAATAGAGAGCAGACCACTATCTAATATTGTATTGGTAAAAGAGGAGGAATTGTTTAAAAACTTGCTAAATAAGGACAGTAGTGAAAGGATCTGGATGTGACTGAGGGCAGCAAGCAAAATTGTCTGGAGACATGTAACTTATAGTGAGTGGGATGAAGAACATTTTTTATAGCAAATGTTGTGTGTGCTATTGTGAGGAAGGAGCCAGGTTTAGTTAGTTTATGATTCAAGGGAAAACCCCAAGACAGAAAGGCACTTGCTCTTTATGGAAACTCTATTGACATAATAGAATGTGCTGATATAAGCTCTTTAGCCAATCACCAGAAAACCATCCCTTCAGATACAGACATCCCATAAAATTCCTTCATTTCAAATCTGGGACTCTAGAACCTCTTCTCTGGTCCATTTTTCTTTCTTTCTAAATTTTCCTTCCTCTCCCTCTATTAAATATCCTTTTCAGTATCGCTAGGCTCTTTAAGTCCTCCTGATTCTTCAGTATATGATTACCATTTGTAACTTACTCATTTCCATTCTCTTCATGGATCCTAATGGTGAAAAAATTATGCTGTTATCAGTGAATATTTCTGAGTTATTACTAAATTGACTACAACATTTAACACCAACAACCAAGTATTATAAATCCATTATATGTTTGAAACTGACTGCAAAATATAGATACAAAAAGATGGATAAAAACATATTTGATATATATACAGTTGACCCAGAAACAACATGGTGGTTTGGACATCAATCCCCACTCAGTCTAAAATCCACATATAACTTTTGACTCCCCCCAAAATTAACTACTAATAGTCTACTGTTGACTAGAAGCCTTACTGACAACATAATTAAAACGTATTTTGTATATGTATTATACACTGTATTATTACAATAAAGTAAGCTAGGGAAAAGAAAATATTCTTAAGAAAATCATAAAGAAAATACATTTACAATACTGTACTACAAATAATCCATGTAAAAGAGGATCTTAGTTCAAACCCATGTTGTTTAAGGATCAGCTCTGTGCGTGTGTGTGTGTGTGTGTGTGTGTGTGTACTGCTCTACAATACATGCATTAGGGCTTTCCTTCTTGAAATGAGGCT